TGTAATGATGTTGGCAACTTTCAAATAGTCTAGCCTAAAAAGGCAGTTTTAAAAAGTGAGTACAGGCCGGGCGCGGTGGCTCAAGCCTGTAATCCCAGCACTTTGGGAGGCCGAGGCGGGTGGATCACGAGGTCAACAGATCGAGACCATCCTGGTCAACATGGTGAAACCCCGTCTCTACTAAAAATTACAAAAAATTAGCTGGGCATGGTGGCGCGTGCCTGTAATCCCAGCTACTCAGGAGGCTGAGGCAGGAGAATTGCCTGAACCCAGGAGGCGGAGGTTGCGGTGAGCCGAGATCGCGCCATTGCACTCCAACCTGGGTAACAAGAGCGAAACTCCGTCTCAAAAAAAAAAAAAAAAAAAAAAAAGTGAGTACAGCAGTGGCTCACCCTTGTAATCCCAGCACTTTTGGGGGCCAAGACAAGCAGATCACCTGAGGTTGGGAGTTTCAGACCAGCCTGACCAACATGGAGAAACCCCATCTCTACTAAAAATACAAAATTAGCTGGACGTGGTGGCACATGCCCACCTGAAAATTCTAGTCAGTTGCAGCATTCCTGCCATACCATGGATCCACCAGGCCAGTAGTAGTCCCAACTACTCGGGAGGCTGAGGCAGACGAATCGCTTGAACCTGGGACGTGGAGGTTGTGATGAGCTGAGATCGCACCATTGCCCTCCAGCCTGGGCAACAAGAGCAAAACTTGGTCTCAAAAAAAAAGAAAAAGTGAGTAAAAACGTGGGTAAAAAAAGAAAATCAAAACTAAGTGTATGTAAGAGAGAACACAAATCGAGAGATTGTTAACATTTTGCCACACACAACCATTCATTCAACTTTTCTGTGGGTTTAAAAACTTTAAAAATAAAATTTTTAAAAGATTGGGCAAAAATTAAATACAGACCAAAAGAGAAGGTTGGGAGACACCAACCTGCAATTATCACTGGCTCTAGACTGTACAAAAAATCGTCTCTCAACAGAATCAAACTAGAGATGGTGGTCTTGGGTTCATTATTTAACACCTGTGCAGCTGCCTTCTATAGCTACAGTAAAATACAATAGGCACACACTGGCACAAAAGGCACAGTCAGCAGACCCACTACCCAAGTAGCTCAAGTCACAGAGCTCTTGGCATCCTGGAAGCCATGGGAGCCCACTACAACGTCAGATAATGCTTCTAAGGATACATGCTCATACACGCACACATACAGATACACACACACACCCAGTAAAAGAGAAATCTATCTGAGCTCAAGCCCCGTAAGCAGGGAAGCCACAGGTTGGAATTAAAATACACTGCCATGTGATAAAGAGCTTATCTAGTCTACAACTCTAGTCTTTTCTAAGAATCAGGTTAGCTTGTAGACCTGTCCAGCTCCTGTTCACAACAATGAAGGTGATGAATGCTGCTTCTACTCTAAAAGACTTTACACACAAATACATACAAACACACACACAATCACATATCAGTTTGTTTTGGAGGGGGATACAAAGCAAAGCAAAGCAAAAGAACAGTTCGTAGAAAGCCAGTATAAGTGCAACAAGTTGTAGCTCATCTTAACTTTGCAAAACATACTCATTTAATATATGTCAAAATATTCTAGGCTTCTCGGATCTTTTGAGCAGGTTTACAAGTGAGAGCTAAGGCCTTTCTATGAAAGGGCCAACATTTCAGATAAGCTGACTCTGTCGTCCAATGGAATGCCCCCACCAGCTAAAACTCAAGTTTACATGGATATTCTCAAGAAAAGTAACTTCATTCTTTTTTTTCTTTTCTTTTCTTTTTTAAGATTGGGTTTCGCCATGTTGGTCAGGCTGGTCATGAACTCCCGACTTCAGGTAATCCGCCCGCCTTGGTCTCCAAAGTGCTTGGATTACAGGCATGAGCCACCACGCCCAGCCTTCTTTTTTTTTTCTAGACAAAGTCTCATTCTGTCGCCCAGGCTAGAGTGCAATAGCATGATCTTGGCTCACTGCAACCTCTGCCTCCCGGGTTCAAGCGATTCTCTCACCTCAGCCTCTCAAGTGGCTGGGAGTACAGGTATGCACCACCACTCCCAGCTAATTTTTGTATTTTTAGTAGAGACAGACAGGGTATCACCATGTTGGCCAGGTGTAAGACACCACGCCCATCCACTTTTTTATTCACTTTTTTTTTCTTCTTTTTGAGATCGAGTTTCGTTCTTTGTAGCCCAGAGTGGAGTGCAGTGGTGCAATCTCGGCTCACTGCAATCTCCACCTCCCGGGCTCAAGAGATTCTCCTGCCTCAGTCTCCCAAGTAGCTGAGACTACAGGTATGCACCACCATGCCTAATTTTTGTATTTTTAGTAGAGACAGGTTTTCACCAGCCAGGCTGGTCTCGAACTCCTGACCTCAGGGGATCTGCCCTCCTCAGCCTCCAAAAGTATGGGATTACTGGCATGAGCCACAGCACCTGGCCCATTTTATTCACTTTAAAAAATAAAATTAAGGCTGGTCCGAAGGTAATGAGTTATCTCAATTGATTGTTTACAGTCCATTAGGGATCGAACTCCTTGTTCTACTCTTTCCCCTCTTCTCACTGCTTCACTTGACTAGTCTTTAAAAAAAAAAAAAAAAGCCAGGCACAATGGCATGACTACAATCCCAGCTGTAATTAAAATATGCTGGGATTACTGGGGAGACTGAGGTGGGAGGCTCACTTGACCCCAGGAGTTCAAGATCAGCCTGGGTAACACAGAAAGACCGCCCCCCCACCATCTCTTTAAAAAAATCAATCAAAAAACCAAAACACTGTTTAGAGATTTTTTTTCAAACCAATTTGTTTAAAACCCAGCAGAAGTTCCACCCAGGTAGCTAGCTCCATGCTCTACAATAGTGCCCCCACCCATTTGCGCAAAAAGGTACAGTCTCTGAACAAAATGTGCACATGCTCACAGTAGCCACAAAGCCACAGCACTAGAAGGCAAAGAGAGGGACAAGATGAAGGAGCAGCAGTAGGCTTTAGGAAATGTGAGATGACAAGTCATTCAAACACAACAGAGTCTCCACAGCAAACTCCATGCCCCAGGTGGGTCCTCCAGGCGTTGCAACTTCCTGGGTTCTCCACAGAGAGTCTGAATAAAGAAGTAAGATCTCTACAGCTATTCCCAGCCAAGGGATGGGATGAGTGTGGGGGTGGGGGAGTGGATAGGGAGAGAAGGGGAGACCTGGATCTAAAAGTGGTAGAAACCGAATTAAAAAGGAAACCTTACATACTCTGTCGTATCTATTAAAACATCTCAGCCCCCATGTGCTTGGCTGTCAAATATTAAACAACCATCATGAGGCAGGACAATCAGTCACCTGTGCTCAGGAAGTTGAGGCTACAGTGAGTCATGATTGCTCCATTGAACTCCAGTCTGAGCAACAGAATAAAACCTTCTCTCAAAAAACCCATCACATGCACAGACAGATAAAAATGTGAGAAAGCAAGTATGCAAGCATAGTAAAATGTTAACAGTAGAATATAGGTAGTGGGTATATGGGTGTTGACTGCAAAACTCTCCCTTTTCCTGCATGACTGAAACGTTTCACAATATTGGGGGATGCTTTTATAGAAGATGGGGGAAACCTGGTTTGTAGTTTAAAAGGGAAGGAAAAAACCTTCCAGTCTTGCTTTCCAGAAGTTTACAGACAATTCAACGTGCATGGGTAGAGGCATCATGGGGCCAGAGAAGGGGATACACCTCACTTAGGATACAGTATAGAATGACACTTTACCTGGAGTAACAAAAGAACCCAACAGAAACAGGTTTGTGGAGAGAAGATAAATCTGGTTTTACACATGCTGGGTTTGGTTGGGACACCTGTAAGATGCTGAAGTGAGCTTTAGTCACCATGACCTTAAATTGAGTAGTGCCTCAGACCCCACTGACCCTGAATTCTGATGTAGGGAAGATCTTGGGAAGGAAATCAACATCCAACAAGCTGGCTCAGTTTGGCAGGCTTCTTCATCTATCAGTCAGCAAGACATACTAAGCAAGAAAACAAAATATGACCATGATTTCACTCATGGAGGTATGTATGGTACAGGATTTCACTGATTTGTATACTAATCAACTACTAAAGGCAGGGATATCTGCTTAATTAGGAACACCCAGAAAAATCAGCCATATGTCTATGATTTTTAAAGAGACTGGGAGAATATTCAGGCTAGGAGTGGTGGTGATCCTGGCACTCAAGACATATCCTTGAAGACCCCTCTTCTCTCCTTCAAACAGGATGAGATCTGCCTGCCAGCCTTAAGCTTCCTTTCTAGACCCAAGGAAAGACTGAACAAAGGCAGCCATCTTACCTACTTTTTAAAAATTATTTTTATTATTGCCATTATTATTATTATTTAGAGACAAGGTCTTGCTTTGTTGCCCAGGCTAGAATACAGTGATGATATCATAGTTCACTGTAGTCTCGAACTTGTGGGCTCAAGTGATACTCCCACCTCAGCCTCCCAAGTAGCCAGAACTATATGCACACACCACCACACCCAGCTAAATTTTTTTAAGAGACAGGGTCTTACTATGTTGCCCCAGCTGGTCTTGAACTCCTGAGCTCAAGCAGTCCTCTCACTTAGCCTCCCAAAGCGCTGAGATTACAGGCATGAGCCACCATGCCCTGGCAGCTTACCTACTTTTTGATCTGAATTCCCAGCTGGCTTACCAGGTGTTCCAAAGCCTGACAACCCAACCAGAGGAAAGTACTTTCAGTATTTCAGGAAAGTCATCTGGAAACAAGCCTGACTATCCTGAAAAAGGGAGAAAAAATGAACGACTCTTAACAGAAACAGGTTGTCTTTCATGGAAAATCCGCAAGCCCGCCTGAAAATTCTAATCACTTGCAGCATTCCTGCCCTACCATGGACCCACCAGGCCAGAGTGGAGCCCTCCAGATGCTGCGTGCCCTCTGCAGCACATGCTTCATTCACCTCGCTAAACAAACAAGGGGTGTCTTTGTTTAAATTTAAAAAAAGAACCTGTCTCACAGGCTACGATTACATCAGCAGAGAGCTCGCATTCTCGGCATCAATCCGGGCTGCTCCACCAGCTTTGAAGCGCCCCGGTGCACGGTGCCTTTGATCTTGTGGTTCCCGCCCGGGGCAAAGCCGATACCATCACGGCGCCCACTGCAGGATCCGAGATCTTCATGATTACCCTGCCAGCAGAGCCACCGCCTCGCCCGCTCATCCCCCACCAGCTTGGGCTCCACCCCTGACCCAGCCTCCAGACCTGGCTGCCAGTGCATGGGCAGCCAAACACATACACCAGTCTTAGGGAGTGTGGGGCTGCCCTTTGGGAGGGGACATCACTAACTTAACATTTGTGGAAATAGCCCTGGGATCATGTTTTTTAAAAAGAAGCTTTTATAGATATTTTAGAAATATTTATGGGGTAAAAAATGATATGGCTGGCTTTCCTTCAAAATAACATAGGGGTGGTATGGGGGTGTAAGTGAAACAAGTGGGGCAAGGCATTGACAACTATTTTGGGTGACGGTGAGTATATGGAGGGATGGCGTGTACATAACATGCTCTACTGGAGTCTACATGTAACATTTCCTATAATAAGAACTTGAAAAAAAGGAACCTCTAACCCTTTGCTATTTTTAAAGTTTATTACTCACTGACTTTTAGGAAGGAAAAAAAAGCCATTTGAGACAGGTGGGTGGGAGGGTAGATCACATCTGACTTTTCTAATGTGCCCCGCTCACTGGAGCTTCCAGCAAGTGCAGGCCACAGATGCAGCTTCTCCAATACAATCCCTGCATAGGTAGGGGCATTAGCGGCACCTCTATCAGGAGATCTTCACCAGTTTGGAGGTATAGAGTCCATCTCTCCAGAAAAATACTCATGAACACACCAGATTGGGAGGAAATATAAGAACCTACTCTCAAAATCCATTACTTACCAAAATCAGATTAGAAATGACCCCTGGAGTAAGCACTCCAGGTTGCTCCATTTTATCAACTCCTTTCCTTCAAAAACTACAGGTACTTGATGAGCCACTGAACTCCAAGCACCAACACATGGGGCCATCACAAGGCACAGCACATCCCTGGGCTATGTCACAAGGCCAATTTTTCTCCTTACTGGATGTATGGCCTTGGATAAGTCACCTAACTTCAAGCCCATTTCCACATTTTAAAAACAAAGTACTATTCATGCTGCCCCTGTGTCTTTAAACCTCTTCTGCTACACATTTAACTCAGGAGAAAGAAAGGGGAAAAAATGCCAAGAAGGAAAAGGGTACACTGGGACACGAGCATGATTCTACCCACAGCTGTGGCGGAAATATGTTTAAGAACACAATTGTAACAGTGTGAATAGGGATCCACTAAATTACTTAGAGAAAAAGTTGTAAGAACAACAAAGTAAAAAAGTAAACAAGCATCTAGGGTGCTAAATAGCAACAACAGCAAATTTTAAATAACATGCATTTATTTACTTTCATCTTAAAGAGGTCTAGGTCAAAAATTTCACTATAAACTGTTTGCCAGCAAAATTGCCCAAATAAAAACAAACAAACAAACAAAAAACTAAAATTCCCTGGTTCATTCATAGCCTAATTTAAAGTACAGGTTAAGTATCCTTAATGGAAAAACCCGAAATCCAAAAGGCTTCCAAATCTGAAGCTTTCTGAGCACCAACATGATACCACAAGTGGAAATTCCACATGTAAGTACCTAACAGGAACTTTGTTTCACACACAAAATTATTAAAAATACTGTATAAAATTACCTTCAGGCTATGTGAATAAGGTATATATGAAACAAATGAATTTCATGTTTAGACTTGGGTCTCATCTCCAAGACATCTCATTATGTATATGCAAATATTCCAAAATCTGAAACACTTCTGGTCCCAAGCATTTTGGATGAGGAATACTCAACCTATATATTAATCCCAACATAGTACAGATCCCATTAAAAAAGTATCTCTAGTTCATCATTTCATTCCTTTTTGGGGAAACTCAATTCTTCCATTCCTGTTAACAGTTAGAAAGATGATAGCATTTCAGTCCCAGATCTTTGCACAGCATCCAATCTAGGCCCTAAGGAATGCTAAGGGGGAATATGAAGCAGTTCAGAGGAAAATACAAAGCAGTACAGAAGGTATGCCACTGACCTCAGTGAGCTTACAATCTAGTTATGGAGACAGACACACCTACAAATTAAACACCACAAAATAATATTAAGTGTCAAATGAGTGCCCAGACCAGATTGTTTCAGATTCAGAGGCAGCAGAGACAAAACTGGGTGCTGCATACTCCAACAGAGCTTACTGGAGGCAGCAGCCTTGAAAGATGGACAGAATGTGGGCAAAGATGCAAATAAAGGCCAAAGCCCGTTAGGAGGAGCCCTTTGACTACAAGCAAGGGGCTCTGTGGTTGGATGCCAAACTGCAAAGATAGACTGGACACAAAATGTCAAGGGCTTTAGAATTTTAGGGGAAGGCGGGGTTAGACTCCATCCTACAAGCAGTAAAAAGCTCTCAAAGATTTGTGAAGGGCAGCACAACATCTGGCAGCCGAGTAGCAGAAGGGGAGAGGAGGTGTGGGGCCCTAAGTGAAACAGACTACTAGGGGTGGGGGTTTCTGCTTAAAAGAGAAATAACTGCCCCTCAATGAACCGGAGGGAATCATGTGCTCATGCTACCAGTTGTGGTTTGGTGGGGGTTTTTTAAACAATGGGGCAAAGATCAAAAGAAACTATTTGCAAATGAGAGCCCTCCTACTCCTCTGACTGGTCACTTCTGTTCCTTTCATCTTCTCTCCTGTTTGAAATTCAGGTGAAAAAGAGAAGCATGTGGCCAGTGGGCTGGGAACCTGCCAGCCTAGCCCTGCATCTAGCCCCATGTGTGACTGGAGGCAAATCACTCAAACTTTTCCAGGCCTTGGTTTCCCCAGTGAACTGAGGAGGGTCAAGCACAGGATCTCAAACCCCTTGAAGTAAGTGCCAAGTCTGGTTCTAGGCTGGGAAAGACCAAAGCCTACAGCTAAGGATTTCAAGGGGTACAGGCTACCCATCAATCCCCAACACCAAGACCTTCAACAGTAACAAAGCTGCAGTTACAGAGCCAGGCAACCATCTTCTCTCCTTTCTAATGAGTGGGAAAAAGGCATCACTGTTGTAAAGACAACACAGAGAATGGGAAATAAGAAAAGCTTCTTTTCAGTAACCACAGGGCAAAACACACTCACATGTATTGAAATAAAACTGATCAATAAGAGTCCACTGGCCAGGAACGGTGGCTCATGCCTGTAATCCCAGAACTTTGGGAGCCAGAGGCGGGTGGATCACTTGAAGTCAGGAGTTTGACACCAGCCTGGCCAACATGATGAAACCCTGTCCTACTAAAAAATACAAAAATTAGCTGGGTGTGGTGGCAGGCGCCTGTAATCCCAGCTACTCCGGAGGCTGAGGCATGGGAATCATTTGAACCCAGGAGGCAGAGGTTGCAGTGAGCCAAGATTGCGCCACTGTGCTCCATCCTGGGCGACCGAGTGAGACTCTGTCTCAAAACAAAAAAATAAAATAGGATGGGTGTAGTGGCTCACGCCTATAATCCCAGCAATTTGGGAGGCCAAGGCGGGTGGATCTCCTAAGGTCAGAAGTTCAAGACCAGCCTGGCCAACATGGTGAAACCCTGTCTCTACTAAAAAAAAAAAAATAATACAAAAAATAGCTGCACGTGGTGGTGTGGGCACCTGTAATCCTAAGTACTCAGAGGCTGAAACACAAGAATCACTTGAACCTGGGAGACAGAGGTTACAATGAGCCAAAATTGCACCATTAAACTCCAGCCTGGGCAACAAGAGCAAAACTCCAACTCAAAAATTAAAAATAAAGAGTCCACTGATGAACATAACATGGGTCAAAACAGCCAGAATAAACAGAGTTCAATGTTCCACCTCTTTCCCTAAAAACAGCTTCTGACCAGGTTTGGGGCACAGAATTAAATTTCGCCCTCCATCGCTTATTTTAACTTTTATCTATTAAGAGTAAAGGGGCTAAAAGCCTAACCAGGTCTGTATTTCCATACCTGTATCAGTAGGTAAGAGGACCTTGGATAAGTCATTTCACTTTTTCCAGCCTCCTTTTCCTCATCTGTATAACGAGGATAAGAGCAGATGCCAGCCTAGGGCTGCTCCAAGGAATAAATGAGATCATTAATGTTGGGTGCTTAACACAATGCCTGGCAAAAGCCAACAATAAATGTTAGCTCTACGGTATTATTTTAGACCTAAGGGACATTTTTGTCTAACGGAGATAGGAAGTAGTGTAATAAGATGTAAGAAATCCATATGAAGGCATTTTCCAGGAAAGAAGGGACTACAAACCCCGGTTCAGAAAGAACTTGTGTGGCCCCCTCTGTGGGGAGAAACAGGTTGGCATTCTTCTCTAGAAAATAACAGCTGCCTCTCCTCCCATCTCGCCCCAACCCCTCCTTGGCTGCAAATACTCAAGGATTAAGAAGACATTCAAGCTTTGTTCCATCTCATTTCTGCTCTGGCATTCTTCTCTTTGGCCTCTTTATCCTAAATGCCATTTCTGCTCAATAGCAGGCCTTATATCAGAGAAGTGTCTTGCACTTTCTCAAGGTGCCCCAATCCTGTATTTCCACTAGCCCCACTTTACTGATGGGAAACCCAAGGTTAAGAGAAATCAACGCGATTGATTCCGAGCCTGGTGCTGTTTTAGGCTGCTGTGCTTTGACCTGAATCAGAGATGGATCAGTGGCAGCTTTCCTACCCCAGTAGGGAGCAAGAACAGGGCTGGCCACTTTAGGACCAAGTGGAAACACTGCAGCTTCTCATGTACCCCAGGATACCACCCCCACTTGGAGCCGCCCCAGGGAAAAGTGCCTTCAAAGGGATTCCAGTCACCAGGCAAGCTTGGTGGCTGCATTCTATCTCTCTTGAGGAGAAATACTCCTTTTGTGGAAAGCTTACACACACATACATACATACATACACACACACACACATACACACACGCATGCATGCACACCGCAGACACACATATACACATGCACCCACACACGCACACACCAGCTGCAACTAGGCTCCAAGCTGTAACTATGCGAGGAGAACCACTCAGTCCTATAGATTACAAGGCTGTGGGGCTCAGTCACCCAGCAAACTCCCTGAAAGAGAAGTGCATTCAAGCCCCACTCCAGGCTTTATTCTTCACCAGGTTTTACCCTTCACCGCTTCTCCTAACACTTCAAAGGAAGTATTTTTGTACAGCCCAGGGAGGAGTGTAAACTGGCCAGCTGCTTCCAAAGCAGAAAAGTTAACCCTAAAAGGGCCGCTGGGCTGGCAGGGCAGGGGGAAGGCAAACAAGGTCGTGGGGAGTTGGGCGTTTGAGTCCCCACAGTTGTGCAGGCCTGCCCTTTCAGCCTACACCAAGGGTACGGCTCTTAAACCACTACAGAAAGGCAGGACTTCAGTTCCTCTAAACAGCTAGTTATAAATACCCTCCCAGGCTAGAGGTTCAAAGGATCCAGCAGTTAGCACTTCAATGGAAACTCCAGCTAACAGAACAGGCCTCTTTAGCACTGCTCACTGTTCAGTCCAGGCAAAGAACTGAAGAACCCAAAAGCTACCACCACAAAACCTATCCCCAAAAGTCCAATTTGGCTTGGTGGCCAGGGGACAGCACACCCTCAGCAGTGTTTTAATGACTGAGCCTATTCTAAACAGTGCCCTGTGGAGGGGGCCTCCCCTCACTGTGTACTCTGAATGGCAGGCCAGGAGATCTTTTCCAAGGGGCAGCTGAGGGAAGATAAAGACCCTAGGCCCTTTTGGCCTTTATCTTAAAAGCTTTTTTTCTTTATAAAGAGGTCGGGGTCTCACTATTGCCCAGGCTGGATTCAAACTCCTGGGCTCAAAGGGTCCTCCCACATCAGTCTTGCAGGTAGCTGGGACTATAGGCACTCAGCTATAAGAGCTTTTATATACCCTTCAAATTCTTCACCCTACAGAAAGTATAAGTTACCCAAATTTAGATTCAACATTCTTCAGTTACCTTGTTGAAATGGGGGGAATCCTTCCTAGTAAGATTAAGTGGACATTACATAGACACTCCCTGGCTCACCAGTGATGCAGCAAACTTCTATGCACAGACAGCTGACAACACAGCCACCTGGGGAGGTGGCAGTTAGATCAGAATGGGCTTCTTTCAAGAGCACACTACCTAGGTGTCTTTTGTAATTTTTTTTCCCCAACCACTCCATCGCAAAGGACATGGACTCTACTAGAACCCCTGGCAACAGGCAGGCCTTAGTCTGCTGTGGGAGTGCCAGGTGAGGACCTGGAAGCATTCAGGTGGGGCTGAGCTCCTGCCACCTGGCTGACACTTCTAGGCAATCACACAGTGGCAGGCAGATGAGTGTTCTCCCCATCCACTGGCAAGGGCATCCTATAATTTACTGACACTGAAAAGTATGCTATAAATAGTTGGTGTTTTTAATGTTGTTGGGCCTCCAGAATAGAGAGGGCCTAACAGCTGTGTGGGGCCAGGGCTCTAGGCATCTAAAGGCTACAATTTGGAAATCCTGGGCGGTATAGTCAAAGCACCTTCAAAGAAAGGAACTCCAAGAGCATCACACTCCATCTAAAGAGACTAAGGTAAGGAGAGAAAGCCTGTTGAAACTATCAATCAGTACTTACAGACCACAGTTTAGCAGAAGAGTGAACGGCACTGAGGGTCTCTTTATGGAAAGCTCTACAGTTCAAAAATGAAAGGGACAGTGGCCATTATAACCCCTAAACCCCAAGCTGCCATTTCTACCAAAGACACAACAGGATGCTCCTGATTAAATAAACACAAGATGATTAAGAGGATGCCTTTAGTCATTCAACAATTTTTTTTTTTAACCTTCACTCTGCTAAGTGCTGAAAATGCAAAGAACTAAACAGATGAGCTTTTGTGACAGAAGTTTTGGTGCAGAAGGGCAACAAAGAGTAAACAATTTCCAAAAGTGAAGAGGATATCTAATAATTTTAAATCTAATTACATTACAGGTTGGCATGAGACTAAGAACCTAAAATGAGTTATACTCCAGAGACTGAGTTACTTCTAGGCTCTTCAGACAGCAAGTATATTAAAGAAAATTAAAATCTCAGCAAGGTATGGTGGTTCATGCCTATAATCCCAGCACTTTGGAAGGCTGATGCTGAGGCTGATCCCTTGAGTCCAAGAGTTCAAGACCAACCTGGGCAACCTAGTGAGACCTCGCCTCTACGAAAAAAATACACAAAACCAGGCATAGCGGCACCTGCCTATAGTCCCAGCTACTAGGAAGACTAAGATGGAAGAACTGCTTGAGCCCAGGAGGTGGAGGCTGCAGTGAGCCATGATCGCACCACTGTACTCCAGCCTGGGCAACAAAGCAAGATCCTGTCTCCAAAAAATTTAATTAAAAAAAATTAAAATCTCTACATTCATTTATTCTTTTGAAATAACCCTCCCAACTAGGTTTCCTACAACTAAAAAAGTCTGAAGGAAGGGAGGAAAAGTGGTGAAGAAACTTAGACTTTGAGCACTTACTAACTCTAATATAAATGCTTAAGTCAAAAGAAGACATAGAGGTAGCACTGGATGCATGGGGTAGGGTGGGGTACGGGGGTGGTGCCCATGCACATGTGTCAGTGGTCAGACCTATTCAGGCAAAATTAAAGATAAATATCTAAAAATTGCTACTGAAACTTTACAGGCTGATTTTTAGCCTTTTAATCTTTTTCAGAAATCATTAAAATTGTTTGGCGGGGCAAACATTAGAATGAATTCTATCTATAATATCACGAGTAGTCCAAGGTGTTCCACTTTGTCCCTCCAAAACTAAAGCAAGTCCAGAAGATTCCAAGATTATGAGGGACTTCAAAACCATCTCATATGAAGAACGAAAAGAACTGGGGGTTCTCAGCCAGGAAAAAAACAATTTTGCTGGTTTTACTGGTGGCTGAGGGGGAGAGTGACAAGATAACCACCTTCAAAAATCTGGAGGGCCATCGTGCCTTAATGGCTCTGTGTTATGGGCAGAGTTCTGTCTCTCAAAAATTGATATGTTAAGGTCCTAACCCCCAGTACCTCAAAATGTGACTATCTGGAGACAGGGTCTTTAAAGAGGTGACCAAGTTAAAGCAAGGTCATATAGGTGGGACCTAATACAATATGACTGGTGTACTTAAGAAATCTGGACACAGTTACAGATGGCAGGCCACATGAAAACACAGAAAAACCATCACTTTATAAACTAAGGAGAGAGGCCTCATAAGAAATCAACCCTGCCATCACCTTGATTCTAGACTTCCAGCCTCCAGAATCATGAGAAAATATGTCTGTCATTTAAGCCACCTAGCCAGTGGTACTTTGTTATGGCAATCAAAGGACACTTAATATACTCTAGAAGGCAGAACCAGAACCAAGGAGCAGAAGAAGTTTGGTTCAGTGAAAGGAAGAACAATTTCTGATAATCAACGTCTGCAAAAAGAGAATGCCTCCCCTTTGGGTGGCAGGGGATAGGTCCTGCACTGAGGCTGAGCCCTACCCTTAATGCACAGCAGAGCCTGGGGCCTCATCGAAAGCTACTAAGGCAAATGGCTGCATGTCCCAGGCTAGACAGAGCTCAGCTGCCAATAATATCCATCAGGTAGGTCAACCCTAACTTTTCCTTTTTTTTTCAGATGGAGTTTCACTCTTGTTGCCCAAGCTGGAGTGCAATGGCGTGATCTCGGCTCACTGCAACCTCCGCATCCCAGGTTTAAGCAATTCACCTGCGTCAGCCTCCCAAGTAGCTGCGATTATAGGCATGCGCCACCACATCTGGCTATTTTTGTATATTTAGTAGAGACCAAGTTTCACCATGTTGGTCAGGCTGGTCTTGAACTCCTGACTTCAAGTGATCCGCTCACCTCGGCCTCTCAAAGTGCTGGGATTACAGGCATTAGCCACCACACCTGGTCTCCAATTTTTAAAGTTAAAAAAAAAAAAAGCTCTAAGTCAATAGTCTGTGAAATATGACACATAGCTGGAGAAGAATTTAAACTCTTCATCTCAGTTTCCTCTTAGCACATCAATGGGGGGATATCTCAGCCATACTCATGTTACACACAACCCTCCTACGGGCAACTAGAGTCAGCAGAGCCTATTTACTCTTTCCTGCACTAACTAAGGTAAACCAACCTGGAAAATGTACATCCATTCAACTCAACCCAGCACCTCCAAGGCAACAGGTCTCCAAAACCAGACAGCCAAACTCAAGACCTAATAGTCGTGGAGGGCGGCTACCCCCAAATCCAAGATGCCAGCCCAGCAGAGGAGGCCTGCAGATCAGCCAGAGGGAGTTCCCCTTCCAGAAGAAATCAAATGTTCCCCAGTACTTTGGGGCTTTTGAGAAAAAGGAGTTCTGGGATCAAATACATTTGGGAAGTACCAGAGGGAGTTCTTATCATGCATTTCATCCAACTCTAAAATGTCTACTTCATGAGGAGTCTAAGATTTAGATTTTTACACATAGTATATCTGTTACATACAGAGGCAGAGTGAACAAAGAGGCATTTAGGACTGCAGGGGTTGGGGGGGACTCCTCTATCTTAATCTGCCTGCCATCACAGTCCCCACAGCTTGGTAAGTAAAGTCACAATAAAGGCTATCCCTGCTTCCTGCAATCCCCACCTACCTACAAGACAGGCTACAAAATGCCTACAAGACAGGCTGCTTGGAGCTGGACTCACTTTTATATGATTTCATACCCACTTGGATGCTGGTACTGTTTAACTCCTTGGTGAATTTTCCCATTCCAGTAGAAATTAAATTCCTGAAAGAGAAGCACTCTTTCTCGGTTCTTTTATACTACAACTCCCTATACCCCATCACCCAATTAGGGAGAAGACCACAAATCAAAGCTGCAATGGAAGAAATAGTCCTACCACAGTTCAAAGGTGCTCAGGTCATTCATTCTAGGTGATAATGACTATATGCAAGGGCCCTGTGAAAAGCTGGAAATTAACATGGTGTTGGCCTTCCATCCTCATAATCTAACAGGACACCAACTGAACCAGTGCAGACCCTAAACCAACCTAATACTGGCTACGTGCTACTCCATGTCCCCTAGCACCTTGAGTCCTCTGAGAAAAAGTTCTGTGATAAAGTATATTTGGGAAGTACCAGATTAAATAAAGTGAATGACTGCTCTTCAACAGAATTTCTCAGAGCCATTAATTGACTACTGTGCAGAATATATCTCTAAAAGAAAACTAGGATAAACAGTATTTCTCAACTACTGAGCCCAACCATTAATGCATAGCATAGGTCCTCGCAGAACCCTTTCACAATAGAACACTGTGCAGAACTGCTGTTCTTCAGGCAATGCCTTGAGAAAAGCAAATCTTGGGCATACTCCAGAGAAATCTGCGTTTGGCTTTAGAAAGTATACATCTATTTTAATACAAGTGTACCCGATGTCCTAAAAATCCACAACTTCCCAAACCAAAATAAATCAAGCCACTCAGTAAAGACTCAAATCGGGCTGGGCGCGGTGGCTCAAGCCTGTAATCCCAGCACTTTGGGAGGCCGAGGCAGGTGGATCACAAGGTCAAGAGATCGAGACCATCCTGGTCAACATGGTGAAACCCTGTCTCTACTAAAAATACAAAAAATTAGCTGGGCATGGTGGCGCGTGCCTGTAGTCCCAGCTACTCGGAAGGCTGAATGCAGAATTGCCTGAACCCAGGAGGCGGAGGTTGCAGTGAGCAGAGATCGTGCCATTGCACTCCAGCCTGGGTAACAAGAGCGAAACTCTGTCTCCAAAAAAAAAAACCTCAAATCAGCAAGGATTCGAAACCCATGTCCCTGCCGGGCATGGTGGCTCATGCTTGTAATCCCAGCACTTTGGGAGGCCAAGATATGCAGATCACCTGAGGGCAGGAATTCAAGACCAGCCTGGCCAACATGGTGAAACCCCATCTCTACTAAAAATGCAAAAAATCAGATGGGCATGGTGATGGGTGCCTGTAGTCCCAGTTATTCAGGAGGCTGAGGCAGGAGAATTGCCTGAACCCAGGAGTTGGAGATTGCGGTGAGCCGAGATCACGCCATTGCACTCCAGCCTGGGTAACAAGAGCAAAACTCCATCTCAAAAAAAAAAAAAAGAAAAGAAAACTGTGTCCCTGAGTCTAGATGGAAAGTCTTTTTGGATCTCCCAAACAACTGGAGAGTGGCAATTCTCCCTATCCAGACAATAATGAAGGTAAGGTAAGCCTCAGCCTCCCTCCTCTGGAGTGTTTGTGCTACAGCTGACATCTTTGCTAGGAACAGAGAAGCAATAATTGAGTGCTTTAAGAGGCGGGCTCCTTCCCCGGATGTAATCCAGCATAGCTAAAAGATAAGAGATAAGATCAAGCTAAAAAAAAAGTTACTTAAGCAGAAGGGAATAAAGGTCACAAGGAGCTGATACTATGAGAAGCAGGGTTAAGATGAAAACCAAAACTTAAACATTCTAGAGAAAATTCTGCCTGGACTGGCCCAGTCCAATCTGCACTTCTTGCCCTAAATAAAAAAGCTGACACGTGCTTTGGTTCTGGCTAGGGCAGGCAATGTTTCTGGAACAATTTCACCTTGGTTACATATTTCTACTTTAAACATTCCAAAGTTGCTGAAGGCCTCCCAGGAGCATCTGCTCCTGTTTCTCAGGAGGGAGTTAGTTCCTGTGGAAAGTGTTTGTTTAGTTTGATTACAACTTTGAAGAGGGGTAGGAATTCTGGCTCAGAAAAATTTAAAGGCCGGGGCCTTCTCTTACATAATTTGTAAACAAACAAAGTTTATCCCAGTGTGGCTCATTTGGCTCACTGGCTGGATTTAGAAAAATATATTCCTCATTCATTTGGGAGAAGCCACAGTAAGGCCTGTCAATAACCAGAAATGTCCAAACCAGCCTATCACTCTATTGCCTAATCCTAAAGGACCAGGCTCAAGATAGCACACTTGCAATCTCCCTTCTGAAACCCAGGGCAGTCAACAGATGGAACCCAAACTGAGGGGTTAGGGGCAGGACTTGAAAAGCAGCTGAGGAATTGCTCCCCAGAAGTTTCTATATGCTCATGATATATTAAAAAAAAAAACTCTCAGAAAAAAAAAAAAAAGTGCTAACCAAGATCAAATGCCACACAGCAATTTTCTTCCAAGGTGTCATGAATGGTCAAGTGTATGGGTAGAGAGCAATTTGTTACTAATAACAGCTAAAGGCCAGAGTTGGCATGTGATTTATTTATCTTTAATAAAGTAAATTCAAGGTTGTCACTAGAACATCACTTACTCCCTTACATTCCAGGCTATTCTCAGGAGTGGAGGGACTGCTGGAAAACTGCCCCCAAATGAACCTCCCGACTGCTGTGCAATGAGTGCTACAATTACATACCATGCTGCTGGAGGACTACAGGGCAGGAGGGAATCGCGTCACCAAAATGTGGCCATGCACACAGACGTCACCTATATTCTGGCTATGGGACCACTGGTCTCTAGGATAAAAGTCAAACACCCTTTTCTGGCATTCAGAGCCTCTCTTATCCCTCCCCTAACTTGTCCTCCAAAGTTCTTTCCCTCCCCGATTCCCTAGTTAGGGTGCTTCTTCCCCACTCCTGTTTCCATCTCCAGACATCCTTCAGAGGCACAGCTGCAGATCCTCCAGTCCCTCCAGGAATCTCATCCAGTCCTATGCCCAGTGTGCAGATGTGGACACTGAGGCTCAAAAAGCCTGGCTGACTCAGACAGATCCCACTTAAATGACAGACCAGAGAGCAGAGCAGATCTCCTGTCTCCCAGTCACGCCTCATTTGGCCTCTCCTTTCTCCCCACCCTGCCAAGGGCACATTCTATGCCGGGCAACCTCCAGGTCTACACAAACTAGAAAAAGCTCCACTAGTTGCCAACCTCACCTGGGTCTCTGCAAGAAATGCCTTCCCCACAGCAAGAGCCAGTGGGAGCAAATCCAAACACCAGTCTTCCTTAAGAGTCCAGCTGGAGGTCCACCCCCAAGACCTTTCTCTGATTTCTAGGCACTTTCTCTGGGCCCCAAGCACTTGGCACTCAGCCTATGCATGTTATACTGTCACCATCTCAGGGATACATCTGACTTTCCCACTGGCCCATAAGCCCTCCCTCAACAGACACGCAGGAGGAGGCCGGCTTCACTCGGTGATTCTGTGAAAACTATTCAGAAAATATCCAGTGCCATATCTATCAATCCTTGCCAGAAAATAAGAAGACATTAAGGCTGACACTCAGAAAGCAAACCATAGCCAGACACACCTTGAAACATCCAAAGCCTGTTGCAGTCCTCACTTTCATACCCAATAATTCGGTAACAAAGTAGACCATCATGAAGAGTTCAAGACTACTTATAGCCACAAGGAGAGGACTGAACTAAGTTACTTTGCTGTTTTTCTTACTATCTTCCAGATCCAAAGTCTAATAGAGAGGCTGGGAGTGGTCGCTCATGCCTATAATCCCAGCACTTTGGGAGGCTGAGGTGACCACTTGAGGTCAGGAGTTCAAAACCAGCCTGGCCAACAAGGTGAAACCCCATCTCTACCAAAAACACATTTAAAAACTAGTAGGGTGTAGCAGTGGATGCCTATAATCACAGCTTCTCAGGAGGCTGAGGCAGGAGAATTGCCTGAACCCAGGAGGCGGAGGTAGCGGTGAGCCAAGATCGCGCCATTGCACTCCAGCCTGGGTAACAAGAGCGAAACTCCATCCTAAAAAAAAAATTAGCCAGGCATGGTGGTCACATGCCTATAGTCCTAGGTACTCAGGAGGCTGAGATAGAAGGATCTCTTAAGCTGGGTGGCAGAGACTGCAGTGAGCTAAGATCATGCCACTGCACTCCAGCCTGGGTGAAATCAAGTTTCATTAGATTCATTGTATGAATGAGGAAAGCACGTGGGCTAAAAGAGGCACTGTTTTCTTTTCACTGAACTGCATTTCTAGGAATATAAGCATGCAGACCTGATTTGCATAGTCACTCTGTATAAGCAAGGGCAAGTTTTGGTTGGATTATTTTCTGACCAAAAAAAAAATACAGTGAAAATCATCCTGGTCTGAAGGCAGAGTCTACAGCAAACAGGCCTAACACGCCCCTAGGAGAGGTCCATGCACAAAAGCTGTTAACTCCAAGTTTAAGTCCATTCCCAAAGAGCAACTTTTCTGTAGATAGCAACAAACAGTTAAGATCAGGAAGGGCTTGGAAGCTCTAAAAAATGGCTCAAAATCAAAAAAGTTTCTTCGGACAAGTGTGCCTAAAAAACCCAATGGAGAGACACCAGGCCATCTGGGGGACCAATGGTTTCTACTAGACCAATAGTTTCATCTTTGCTCTCCACCCAGACGAATCTAATCACTGCTTTAAAAAACACAAACTGAAAGCACAGGTCTTATCACAGGTATTACTGTGATAAGCAGACCTTCTTTTTCTTTAGCAAAAGCAAATTTGCATCCAACTGACTGCACATCCAGCAATCCAGCTAATCCGGAAGAGGAGAGAGCCAATACAGGATGGATTTTGCTTCTGTTCTTAGTTTTGACATCCAGGGAACGGGGAGACATGCCCCATATGACATGGGGTAAATGATGCTCCATAAGCATCATTTAAAAAAAAGCAAGTATCACCACATACAGACCCCAGTGGTACTAATTCAAACCTAATGGACTTCTTTTTTTCGATAGGTTACTAGTTAGTGATTCTCACATATCCCTACCAAAAGTGACTTGCACACAGCCCAACACTGGTTCAATATTTGTTTCTAGACGTTACTCTTCCACAGCATGATTGGCATGCAACATACACCAAGTACAAAAGGAGGCCACTGAGACTCCCAGGAGAAGTTAAGTTAACATAGAGTGTTGTTGAGGGTTATCTGGAAAGAAAGCTGGGCTTCACTTCATTCTCAATCACTTTATGGAGATGACTTGCAGCCAGTTTCCATTGCACGCTGCATTTTCTCTGTCATTTCGCCTTCTTCTGAACCATCTTTTCAGTTGTTGTTTTAGCTGAACAGAAGCTAGTTTTAATATGAAATTAAATATGCTATTTAAAGAAAGCATAGATAACAGAGTTGAATATAAATGACCCACTCCAGTGGTCCCTCTGGAGCCAAATCAAAAATTAACATTATTTTTATGGTCCAAAAGTAGAGCATCATGTTAGCTTTAAATCAATACTGCATTTAGAAAATACCCACTTCCCACTGAAAGTCTGCTTGCTAATTCAAAATGAAAGACATAGAAATGACCTCAAATCTATTTTAGAGGTTTGTAACTATACAAAGACAACCACAAATGCTTTTCAATTGTATCTTTGTTCTAGATTAAATATGTTACCAATCAACTCAGCAAGTGAAAGTATGCTGACACCACTCTGCACCATGTGCTGTGGGCAGGGAAAAAGTTCTACCATACAACCATCCCCACTGATTGCAAAGGGGTAGGGGGTGTGGAGAATGGGACTTATGTTTCAAGATAGCTGGTGACTCAGACAATGAAACTCTGCAGAGAAAAAAACTAGTGCCAGTAATCAAATCTGAATATGGTGCTGGGTTGGAAAACCAAATCAAAGCAAAATCTTATCAACAAATCCCCAAGGAACCAGACCATGAAAGGCACGGACACCATCTGGGCACTTGTGGGGACCCATGCGGCCACCACCTGCTCCCTCAGTGAGTCGCTTGTACATTCTCAAGGACCGTAAAGTTCTCATGTAGATGGGATCAGAAAAATTAGAGGAAATTAGATAAGATTAAAATGAGAGTTGAAGGATAGCACAAGGCCATATAAGATAAATGGTCAAATGGAATATGGCTGTGCCATTTGGCACCTTGGCATTTTATGTGAAAATGACTCCGTGAAAATCTTTCTTCAGGTGGCAATTAACATTTTAGCTCAAATTCTCCCATTAAGGGAAAGAGAAAACTGGGGGCGACGGGGAGCTGGCAGCAATCAGTGTGATCCAGTGGCTCTGCCAGCATAGGATAAGCACTCAATTCGTATCTGCTGAATGAAAGAAAATAAAAATCCAAGCCAGTGGCTCTTCCTGGCTTCCTAGTCAGCACCAGCACGTCTCTCTGCCATAGAAGTTGTCTTCTAATAGCTGGTTTACCTGATGCTTCTTGCAGGACTACAAACTCTTTGAGAGTGACAATTCTGTCAGTTGGCAGCAACAGACACCAACTGAACATGTGTTAAGCACTTAATGCATACCTTATACATATATTATCTAATTTTCACAGTCCTTTGGAGGTATAAGCTATCTGTCCCATGTTATACATGAGGAAGCAGAGAGGTTCAGAGCGGTTGGATGACCTGGCCAAGGTCATAGAGCTGGCAGTGGCAGAGCTGAGATGCAAACCAGGCCTATCTGGCCCCAGAGATGTGCTCTCCACCACTGTGCCCCTTACATAGAAAGAGCATGGTCAGCTCTGAACTCCCAGAATGCAACATAAGTGGATTTTAGCCTTGGAAAGTTTCTGTTTTGTTTTGGAGACAGAGTATCACTGTCACCTAGGCTGGAGGGGAGTGGTGCCATCTTGGTTCACTGCATGCAACCTCTGCCTCCCAGGCTCAAGCAATCATCCTGCCTCAATCTCCTGAGTAGCTGGGACTACAGATGTGTACCACCCCACTCAATTAATTTTTGTATTTTTTTTTGTAGAGATGAGGTTTCACCATGTTGTCCAGGCTGGTCTCAAATTCCTAAACTCAAGCAATCCACTTGCCTTGGTCTCCCAAAACGCTGGGATTACAGGCGTGAGCCACCATGCTCAGCCTCAAGAGGATTTTTTAGCTCTAAGAGGTTCGCAGACTGCCACTGGATTTAGCAGCCTTTAAATACCTAATGGAGGCTATAAGACAGAGTCTTGAGCTCCAGGCCAGCTTCTCCATTCACTAGCTATGTAAACGTCTCTGCACTTTAGTGTCCTCATCTAAAAAAACAGATATGAAATGTCTTATCGCTCAGAATCCTCTTAAGGATATAGTGAGAAAAACAGTATAAAGTCCCGAGAATAGTGTCTTACACAGTATTCATTCATTCACACATTTCATCAACCACCTGTGTGACCTTCAGCACTAAAAAGCTTTCACGTAGTAGAAGCCAGCAATGATGGAAGAAGCCATGAAATCTTTTGGCATTCTATCTCCCAGGCCCAGGTCAGTAACAGCAGCTGAGAATTCGATAATTTGGATTGTTTCACAAGCAGAATGTTTACCCAGAGGCCAGGATGGAAGAAACCTGTCCTCTGTTCTACCATTTGTTTTAATTGGTACAAGTTTCCTTTTTCTTTTTCTTAATGGTTTAGCAAATCTACATTGCAGCCTTGTTTTTCCATCCCTGAGACAAAAATCTTTGATTCTCTGTTATTTTTAGCCAAGAAGTCTAGCAGAGCCAAACAGAGCAACCCTGAAATCATCAGGAGAGAGTTCTGTCTATCTGAATTTCCTGCTCCAGCTATAACAGTATCTGCAAAAGATACATTGGAAATCATAACTTGCTGAGGCCGCATCAATGCCAATGCAGGCAAGCACAGTAGGGTATTACAGCCTGGTCATCCATAAAGAGACACCTTCAAGAACAGGTGAGGTAGCGCACACCTGTAATCTCAGCACTTTGGGAAGCCAAGGCAGGGGATTGCTCGAACCCAGGAATTCAAGACCAACATGAGCAACAAAGCGAGACCTCATCTCTACAAAAAAATGAAAAAATTGGCCAGGCGCTGTGGCTCACACCTGTAATCCCAGCACTTTGGGAGGCCAAGGCAGGCGGATCATGAGGTCAAGAGATCAAGACCATCCTGACCAACATGGTGAAACCCCAACTCTACTAAAAATACAAAAGTCAGCTGGGCGTGGTGGCACGTGCCTATAGTCCCAGCTACTCAGGAGGCTGAGGCAGGAGAATCACTTGAACCAGGAGGTGGAGTTTCCAGTGAGCCGAGATAGCGTCACTACACTCCAGCCTGGTGACAGCAAAACTGTGTGTCAAAAAAAAAAAATAGCTGGGAGTGGTAGTACATGCCTGTAGTCCCAATTCTCAGGAGGTTGAGGCAGGAGGATCACTTGAGGAGATCAAGGTTACAGTGAGCTATGATCATTCCACTGCACTTCCAGTCTGGGTGACAGAGCAAGACCCTGTCTCAAAATAAAGACACCTTCACACAATGCCCAGGTCTCCAGGATAGCCTGAAAGCTCTCAGGTCAGCTAAAGAACAGATTCCTGGGCCAGATTAGAAAAAAACTCAGCCTGAAGAAAGTCAAGGGTTGAACAGAAGTGCCTTAAACAATCTCAAGCAGGCAGGATGATACAGAGAGGTAGCCTTTACCAAAGAAGCAAAAAGAAGGGTCAATCTCATGTGATGCAGCCAAAGAGCCTTCACTAAAGCTGCAAAGGAAACAAAAATAAACTAAACAGGATAAAAGGAAAGCTGTTGCATGAGGAAGAACTTTTGCTCCAGTTAAAAAAGAGAGAGAAGAAAAAGAAAGCACACACTGAAATGATCTAAAGCTGCCTATAAATATTTGGGAACATCAAAGGCAGTCCTGTTAAATTAAAAATGCTGTCACACAGATAGGAACTAGCCTCTAGCACTGCCAGCTTCAACATGTGAGCCTGTGATCTGAGGAGCGAAGGCTCAGCTCCTCAAGAAATCTGATTCACTAAAGAAAAAAGTGAAGGAGCAGTTGAGTTTTAATAAGGGCATTAAATACCTTAGGAATGAGCTAATTAGAGTTTAACTCTTTCAAGATTGTTCGAGCTCTTAAGAATGCTGTAATGTAAGCTCCCTCCAGAATCTAGTTAAATCCGTCTTGAAACCTGCAACGTAAAAGAACAGTATTAAAATAGCACCTTAGGACTTCAAAGTTGATCGATCCCACCAGGTCACTCAGATTTAAAGACAGAGGCCAAGTGAAGAGGAGCCAAGGTTAACTAGGAGTTGTTTTCTGGGGTGAAGTTAGGTTGCTTGCTTATTTACAGGAATTTTTTTCCCTAGTTTAGACTAGATAAGAACAAGCTCACTCTCTAATGCCATATTCATTCTGCCACCCTGTGAGTATGCCCTTTACCCAAGACACTTTGAGGAGAGAGACAGGGTGTTGAGCAGGAAGGCCCACTGACCTCGCTCGCTTGCTAGCCAGCTCACTCACAGGCCACACAAGAAATTCTGGCTGAGCCTCCCAGACACACTCAAGGTCACCACGGGAAGTCACCCAACAGTTTTCCCTATACAAATTCTGGATCAGAATCCCAAGGAATCCAGGACGAGTTCCCAGTTAGGAAAGTTCCATCAAGACGGCAAATCCTTCCTTTGGCCTTGACATAGGAAGGAGCAAAACCTCTGGGGAAAATACACACCTTCAGAAAGGGGCATCTTTCTATCATCCAGTTTCAGGAATGTTAGAGGAGGAGGTAGACAGTGATAGTACTCACCTTCTCCATTCAAGGAGAGGAATGCAGAGCCCAGTCTTGGTGAAGGGGTGGGGGTGGGGGGGTCAGGAGGGGAAGGGGATTAAAAAAAAAACATAATGCTCTCCAATCATTCCCATTTTTAGAAGAAGTCCATGTGTCTAATTAGGGGAGGTTAAGATTAATAAAGTATTTGCTTTGGCAAAATCACACACTGGATCAAACCAAGCACTGAAGTCACCTGTGCTTGCCCCAGGTCCCATGTAATTAGGCCCTTAGGGCATAGCCTTAGTACATCGATGCAGCATTTCACACATCCAGCTGGATCCTGAGGCACAAACAGCCACCCTCCTTTCCTCAGAAGCAACCCGGAACAACAGTCAGGCTGGCCTGGAAACACACTGGACTCAGAATTCACATCTAGCTGTGCGTGTGTGTGTCTGTGTGTGCACACATGCCCGACTGACAGAGCTTAAGGCCTGGACAATGATGTAGCTGTAAAGAGTAGGGATGAGCAGGAGAAGCTACAGCAAAGTATCCCTCCCAGGAAATGGAGGAAACCAGGAATCGGAGAAATAAGCAGCCTTTACCTCTTGCAAACAGCCAGTCTGGGGAGCCCATGGACCTCACACTAGGAAAGAGGGGACCACAGGTGCAAGTAGAAAGGCGCTAAGCATGTTAAAAAAAAAATTCCCATGGTATGATCACTTCTCTTCTCAGTAAATGGCACTTTTGAATTCCTTGAACTTTGATGAGCTACCATTTTAGAATAAGAATTTCCAACCACTTGGGAACTACAACATAAACGAGGAGCAGCACGAAATTATTATATATCTTCTTCAACCTCATCCCCACTAAACACAAACTGCATGCTGAGAGTAACTCATGTAATCCTCATAACAACGCTAGGAAAAATTTATCTCCTATTTACAGATACAGAAACTGAAATCCAGAGAGGCAAAGCCACCTTTCCACATCAGGTAACTAGCAAAGTCCATATTCAAACCCAAGCTGTCTGGCTCCAGAATCAGCACTCTGCAGCCTCTCCCATCATCAAAGGAAACCCAGAACCAGTTTGTTCTACAAAGTTTAAAACGTGCTTAAGGAACTTGGTGAAAAATGCAAAAATTAGCAGGGCACCTGTAGTCCCAGCTACTCGGGAGGCTAAGGCGGGGGATCTATTTGGCACAGGATGGGGAGGTTGCAGTGAACCAAGATCACACCGCTGCACTCCTGCCTGGGCAACAGAGTAAGACCCCATCTCAAAAAAAGGAAAAAAATGGCCTGGCAAATGCTGGGTGTCTGCATAGCAAAGTGGAAAACTACTGCTCTGTCCTCCCAACTCCTCTTAAATACAGTTGGTTAAACATTGTAGTTTGAAGAACTAAAGAGAACTTATACCCACACAGGTTATTGAAACTTAACTTGCTAAGCACAGTGGCTCACACCTATAATACAAGCACTTTGGGAGGCGAAGGTGGATGGATCACCTGAGGTCAGGAGCTCAAGACCAGCCTGGCCAACAGAGCAAAACCTGTCTCTACTAAAAATACAAACATTAGCTAGGCATAGTGGTGCATACCTGTAATCCCACTACTGAGGAGGCTGAGGCAAAAGAATTGCTTGAGCCGGGGAGGTGGAGGTTTCAGTAAGCAAAGATCAAGCCACTGAACTCCAGCCTGGGTAACACCGCAAGACTAAGTCTCAAAAAAAAAAAGTTAACTTAGAAGTTGGTGATTAGGAATACCCACAAAATAGTAGTGCTATTTCTGCACCACAAAAGGCCCATCCACCAGCTTGGGCAACATGGCAAAACCCCATCTCTACTAAAAATACAAACATTAGCTGAGTGTGGTGACATGCGCCTGTAATCCCAGCTACTCACGAGGCTGAGGCAGAAGAATCACTTAAATCCGGGAGGTAGAGGCTGCAATGAGCTGAGATCAAGCCACTGCACTCCAGCCTGGGTGACAGAAAATAGACTTCCTCTTGGGGGGTAGGGGAGGGTGAAGATGCACTAGAACAGCAGATGCCACTCGAAAGTCACATCTCACTCTGCCATTCTGGGCTCCCATATGGCTTACCAGACCTTATCAATTCTTTTCCAGACATTTTACTGCACAACACCAAGTACCATAGAATTAATCATGCAAGGCACCATTTTCAAAGAGGTAACAGCATTCCAGTGTGAGATGCCAGGGACATTTCCCTCCTCTCATCCCGGTTCTGTCTGCCGAAGCTTATGAACAGGACATCCCAAGATCCCATTTATAGGTGATGGCACCTTCGACTGTGGTCTTTGCTTATATACAAGAATAGGGAGGTGCAAGGAAATCCCTTCTTGGTGTAGGGGAAAGTGAGGAATGTAGAAAAGGAGCTGGGGGAGGAGTCCCCCATTTATCCTTCCTATTTTTCTTTCCCTTCTCCCTCCCCTAAGCAGCCATCACTAGATTAGTTACCAGAGGGCAAGGGAGGTTGGCAGGAGTTGAGAAAAGGGGGTCCGTAATAGGAAGAGACAGAAGATCCCTGTTTACCCTCCAACAGGTAGGGAAGAAATTCACACATGAAAGGCCCACCCACCATATAACTTCCACACCTTTAGAAGAGGACAATTAAAACAGGCTTGCAAAAGTAAATTAACTTTCACTTGAGCCCAGGAGTTCAAGACCAGCCTGGGCAACATAGTGAGACTTCATCTCTATGAAAAATAAACAAAATTAGCCAGGCATGGTGGTGGTGCATACCTGTGGTCCCAGCTACTTGGGAGGTTGAGGTGGGATGATCATTTGAGCCTCGGAGGTGGAGGCTAAAGTGACCTAAGATTACACCACTGCACTTTAGCCTTGGCAACAGAGACTCTATCAAGAAAAAAAAAAAGAAAGAAAGAAAGAAAGAGAGAGAGAGAGAGAGAGAGAAAGAAAGAGAGAGAGAGAGAGAAAGAAAAGAAAGAAAGAGAGAGAGAGAGAAAGAAAAGAAAGAAAGAGAGAGAGAGAAAGAGAAGAAAGAAAGAAAGAAAGAAAATTAACTAATGCTATCTGGCATATAGTAAGAATTATAGTTTTCTACAGCATCTTCTTGCAGGGAACATAAAGGAAATTTTACTTGGAATATTCAACACTATTCTGCCCCCATCCCATTGCTGTTTCAGAGCTTTCCCCTTCCAAAAACAAGGTTGGTATGGCAACCAGTGCCCCAGTCACCGTGGTCCCTAACCACATCCGCCGGGGCTTGGCATGCTGAGACATGTGCCAACTCTGTTGTCTGTAGGGCACTCCTGGCCACAGTACACAGCAAGCTATAATCAAGTCAGAAACCACCACATTCGTATAGAACTCGGCTCAACATAAATATTCATTAAATGTGAAAAACTATGGTGATGCAATGTTGAGACTGCAAATTTAAACACAAGAGTCAGGAAATGCAAAAATTACCACTGCCACTGGAACTTGAAATCACCCACCAGCACATTTAATACCACAAGTGTGTTTATATGTGTCCTAGAGATTTAAACCTAATAACACCAAAACTTCAAAACTACATATTCTCTCTTCATTTAATTCCTAGGATGAGGGTGACATTTATTGATGGGCATTAGAGCATTTCTGGAGTGAACATTCATGAAAAGGCAGCCTGAAAACCCTCTAGCACAAGTGAAATATAACATATCATATATTCTGGAATACTCCTGAAGGTCCTGATGCCCATGTAATCACCACCATCCCATAAAAACAGCAACAGTGACCAAAAAAAAAAAAAAAAAAAAACTTCAACATGCCAACATATATAGAACTAAGCAATAATTTAATAATTTCCCAAATGCTTACAGTCAGCCCCATAAAGACTAGAAAATCAAATGTTTGCTAAACTGAAATCTAAAATTCTCTCATATGTAGCCTGTTAATCTCTTTAGAAATACTACTACAGTCCTTTTAAATTCTGCTTCCCACACAGCACTTAAACACAGGATCAAGGCCCATGCCAGAGTTCCCAAAGGGAAAAAAATTGGGTGGAAGCAGTATCATACAAATTTAAGTAAGAACTCATACACGTTTGTTTCTGATGGGTCATTCTGAAGCTATATACAATTTCTGCTGTTTCTTCAAAAGTCTCAGTGTTTTAAGTGACACCCAAAAAATTATATTTTACATATTTAAATAAAACCTATCCCCAGAAGTCTATAGTCAGGCTGTGATATTCTCTTCTCCAGTGTGTTCTGAACAATGTTCCCAGGGCAGGCACAAGCCAGGCTGGAAGGAGCTAGAGGGTGTCACCTCCTCATACCACCTTTCTCCAGACCTCCAGGAAGCACAGGCAAGGTGAAATTATTCTGAGAGTCTGGACTATCCCAACTTTCTGGAATAATCCTAGGACACACCCATGTCTGAAAACTGCTTGCAAATAGTTGCAACAATCATAGAAAGTTCTCCCTCAAAAAGCCAAGTCTTGGGTGGGCACAGTGGCCCATGCTTATAATCCCAGCACCTGGGGAGGCTGAGGTGGGTGGATCATCTGAGCTTAGGAGTTCAAGACCAGCCTGGGCAACATAGCAAAACCCCATCTCTACCAATTACACAAAAAATTAGCCAGGCGTGGTGATGTGTGCCTGTGGTCCCAGCCAGCTACTCGGGAGGCTGAAGTGGGAGGATCATTTGAGCCTAGAAGGTGGAGGCTGCAGTGAGCCAAAATTGCACCACTGTACTCCAACCTGAGTGACAGAGTGAGACTCCATCTGAAAGGAAAAGAAAATAAAAGCCAAGTCTTTTTTTCTGCTGGCCACATTAACATCCCTTTCACATCCCTCTCACTATGCTATCCCAAAGTAGTATGATCTAATTCCAGTTCAGTAAATAATTTACATGCAAGGTAATAGGGAGATGGAGCGCTCTGGTTCAAAGGAACACACTGGTAGAACCCAGGGAAAAGCTTCATGGGAAGAACTGAAAGTCTGGCTGCAGATGAGAGGAGTTAGGACAGGAAAAAGACAGTGGAAAGCAAAGATGCAAGTCGAAAATGTGGAGGTGAAGGCATGTATTCCAGTAGGCAATGCAAAAGGAAAG